CCCCAAAACCCCAAAACCCCAAAACCCCACTTAAATCCCAAAATTTCAAAATTTACTTAAAACCCAATTTCAAAATGGATTGCCAGTACAGAACAGAGGCTCAAGACTTAGTAGAGATGAAAGAGACTGAAGATTTCTACACCAAAGGTAAGCATCTGGCTTAATATTTTAGTCATGGGCTCAGTCATGAAGAAGTTGAGGTAAAGAAGGAAAGATCCAGAGGTACCCTTTGGATATGCTAGAGGGCAATTGGAAGGCAATCTTGTTTAACCCCAATTATTATACAGAAGCTCAGTGTGAAGAACAACCTTTGGATAGAACAAAGGTCCCTAAGTCATCAGAATTTGCTGGGGAAGGGAGGAGTCAGCAGGAGATTCATGTGTTAGGACAAGAGAATTGTCTCAGAGAGTTTAGAAATGATGGTGGGAACTATCGTTTTACTGATGATTCAGAATGTAGTGAGTCCAGTCAAGAAGACCCTGACTTGAAGTTGTTTGTAAATAAGTCTGGAGAGTTATGGAATAGTAGCAAGCCCTCAGATATGCCTTCAAAAGATCCTCCTTTTATATCCTTCAAACCCTGTTTTAGATCTTGTCCTGTCCAAGAATTTGAAGAGTCTGAAGAAACCCATGTGAAAAATAAAAGTTCAGTGTTAGAAAAATTTGAACAAAAGATGAGAGAAGAAGTTAAAGAAGGGCCACCAGTCGAAGAAAAGGTGGAGCTTTTGGACAACGAAGAAGGACTAGAGAGTGTGAGCATTGAACAGCCAAAATATATTCCTAAAAACTCATTGATCTGCAATCATACAACCATATCAAAAAATAAATCAGGAATTCGTTATGGAGAGCTTCAAGATTGCATGCTTACACTAAATGGCTATGAGTATATCTTCAACAAGATTAACTTCAGGATCAGAGACCCGAAAGAAACTTAAGATAAGCCAAATTAAGCATTTCAACAATTTTTAGTCTAAAGGGGTTTTGGGGTTTTGGGGTTTTGGGG